TCTAATACTGAGCTAAAAACACAAGTTCATTAAGCTTCTCTTTCCCAAAGGTAGCTGGAATAGTTTGACAGACTTTCAAAAATGGAGAAGTTATAAGAAGTTTGGCCAAAATTTAATCATGCTTCTGTATTTCAAAGGTCAAATACTTCTAAAGAGTATTTGATTTTTTCTAAATGAAGCAAATATTTTTAGCCCATTTTCTTCTGTAATAATACAAAAATGTGATGGCTTTTCCCATTGAGCTCATAAATCTTAGCTAACTAATCTGGGATGCATTGCGAGTCGGAGCTATCTGCACTGTAAGTAAAACCGATGATCCCAGCTTTGTCTGGAGGGAATTCTCTGAATGGTTTTAAAGGAAAACATGAGTTTGCCTGCTTTATAAAGTGGACTTTTATGGAATCAAGATCTAGCCATAAGTCATTGGCCCTTTTTTATATTTCCCTTCTCTTATTTAAATAGCAATATTGTTTTCCATAGGGTAAAAAAGACAACTTTAATATATATCTGGTAGTTAAAATATTTTGGTCCCATATAAAACTGATGCTTTGGTTTTACAGCATCTAGAAAAGTAAGGAGAAAGGTAGTAGAAATAGTCAGTAGTCTGGAAACATTTAGAATATTTCTAGATAATTAAATTCTTAGGGTATCTAAAAAGAAAAAGTGTATTTTCTACAGAAAGTCAAAATTTAGAAACAACTCAAATTTATCAATAGGTAAATAGATAAAAAATACACCCCTACAGTGGAATACTAATTAGCAATAAAAGGAAAACCTAAGAAACAACATGAATCAATCTCAAAATAATCATACTAGTGAAAAAGTTATGACTCCATTTATAGAAAATTCTATAATACAATGTCAACTTTAATTACATTCTTAAAGCAATTTTGTCTTTAGCAAAAACTGATTAAAAAGTTTATGTAAGAGTTTATCCATTTTGGATAATATATGACAAACAAGTGAAGGTTTACTTTTTTCCTGATTTGTTTAAGGAAGGTTACTTTGGTGAAATAGAAACCCATATTTAGAAATTCAGAATAACTCTAAAAATATATACTTCATAAACAGTTTGTCTTAATGATAGCAGTTTATGTTAATTCTAAAATTGGAAAAAAGTACCATCTTTTCCAACTGCTCATGATAGGGCTTGCCACACCTCAGTTTCCAACACAGCTTTAAACAGTCACAGAAAATTTCATTATGTCTGAAGTTATTAAAACATTTAGCCAATGCTTAGGATGCTTTGCTTTTTAAAGTTTGTTCCCTTTGCCAAAGTATTTTCAACTTCTGAATGGTTTTACTAAAAATGTGTATTCCCAAATCTGGGGATAGTTTTAAGTACTATGTGATAATCCTAAACTCTGAAAAGTGGTATCAAGATAGAGAAGCAGTTCTGTGGCCCCAGCCTTACCCTGAGAGTCAACTCTCTGGCAGATCTCTGGACTTAGGTCTTTTGTGATTTGTTACTGAATGATGGTCTCAAAGTAACAAGTCATTACAGCACTTTTCAAATTATGGCAACCTTAACAAATAAAACAAATGAGATAACCTATTTGAGTATGGAGTGTGTGAGGCTAAACCTGCATCCCATCTCTTAAAGTTTTCAACAATAAAACATATATATACATGTAATTTTCATGGGAAAACACTTGAATTACTTTATGATTTAGTCACTACTAGGACTTCAAAGAGAAGACAGATAATTTCGGAAAAAGCTAACTAGATTCTGAAACAGCTCTTTTAGTGTCTGATAATAAAGACAGTTTGGAGGGGTTTTGCTATTATTAAATTCAAGGAAAAAAAGATTGATGGTGATTATTTTTCATATGGCACTGAATAGTGGTATTATTTTGCTACATTTGACTGAAACTATGGACAAAACTCACTCTTCACCACTGTGGGCTAATGACATAGTGTATATATCCTAAAAATGAATCTGTGGAATTTATCACCAATTAAACTGGTGACTGACCATCATGTATATTTATTGTTACCCATAAGGAAAGCAACTACACAATATTCATTAGTTCCAAAATATTTATAGCTATCATTTCTATAAAGATTAAAGCAACTATTTCCTCAGAAATAAAGTTATCTATATATGGCAGTGTTGTTTCTATTTTCTGGGTAGTTTCAAGAATTCTGATAAGGAAATGTAGAATCTTAATTGGGTAAGAGGGAAGAAAAAAAGCTCATGAGATGGAATCATAGTAACAAGACAGAAGAGTACACTCAGCCAAAGGAAGAGTAATTGGCTTAATTAAACTCAGCAAGAGAGGTGGCTACTGCCACAGACCACAAACCAGATTGTAGAGTTTAGAGACTTGATCTCACAGCTCTTAGGAACGAACTATAGGTATTAAGAACCACATTAAGCACAAGAGAAGGTAAAAACATTCACACTGCCAGGCGGTGGTGTGGAGGGCTGGTGGGGTTCCAGGGCTCCGGACGACTATCTTTTCTTACAGTGTTTCAAAACACCTTGAAACAAAAACTGGGATTCGTTCTTAACCCACTCTTGCAAAAGGTCTCCAATTTACAAAGGATCAATTGATGTATTAGAAATAGCTACAACTAGAATGCTCAATCTCACAAAGATGATGTTTATAATTTCAAGTTTTCTTCTAAGAATATAAACTGCTTTTGAAATGTAAAAAGTGAAAATTAAAATGGAAGTTAAAAATTAAAAATTCAAAACAAGGACAAGTTTTTCTAAAATTCTGCAAACAAACCCTAACAAATTAAGGTGGTAATTTCCGTCTTTAACTATGGACATACTAATGCCTTAGTGTTGGCCTTAATTTTTCAGAATTTTGCATTACCTCACCCATACTGACATTGGTTTACATGACCAGAGAATCATACAATATAAACATATTTTGTTAATCCTACATAGAAGTATTTAAAGACAGCTCTGGAAATGAGTAATCTGTAAACATTCTGAGCTCTGGTACCTTCCCACATCCCACAGTATATGAGGTACAGAATCATAAAATAATGACCCTGACTTCACATTGTTAACTCAACAGCACTAATTTCTATCAGAAAAGTGAAAAAGAGGAAAAAATCTAACAGCACTTGGCTCTCAAATACCGAATAGATCAATCCCTTTTTCTCCATTATTCTTTCATATGTTCTGTTCTTTGAGACTGGAAAACTTTCTGGCTTTCTTGATTATCCTGGTAACTCAACTTAAAGCCACTTTCACTTAAGATATGGCCCTTCTTTGCGACATCTTTCCTGATATCTACCCTAAGGTCATCTACAAAATATGTAAGATGAGAACAACAAAAAAGCTTGATACAAACACCACCAGGCTCCATGTATCTGGAACTGCTCCACATTTAACTCTACATTGGAATTTCATTTACTGACATTTTCACAATTGTGTCAGGCAAATACACTGGCAACTAAAACTTATATAACGTATCAATATTTTATTCTTTATCTTATGCAAAGTTGATTCTAAAAAACATCTCTCTCAGGTTTCTTGCTCTGGCTTAGACAAACTTAAGGAATCAACTCTGCAATTTTAATATAACTTTAATAGAGTTATTACTTATGAACCTCACCTTTTCTAAAGTTTTTCTGGTAAAAATGAAATCCTGATGATAATTTTTAAAAAGACCAACTATTGACACTTATGCTCAAATAAAGACCTAAATGTTTTTAATATTTTTATCAGATTTAAGGTTTAAGATCTAAGTAGGGAAAAAAAAACAATATCAAAAACACTTTTGGCATAGAGGACTTCTTGCTGAAACCCGAATTTCATTTGAGCTAATTTCTATTCCTGTATTACTTTCTACTTTATTTACCACAAATAAAAGCCTTCTTTCAGAAATACTTCAGAGAAAAAACAAGAATCAATGTCTTCACATTACAAAGATGCAATGCTATGGTGCTCTTCCCAGTCAAATGTAGTATTAGTGGCCCTCATCACAACAATGTGCTCTGCTTCAGCAAAGACAACTTTCATGAGTTAGTCCCTTACTGGATCTCTTGATTAAAGAAGGCATTTATGAGACAGATAAAGAACAGAGTTCTTCCTCTCACAAACTTAATTGGTTTCAATGAGGACTTAACTGACTTTATCAGCATGGTGTTCCAATGGACAATTTAACAGTATCCAAAATGAGTGCAATTCTGCTGATCCCCACCTCTACAGCTAATTTTAACACAATGCACTTATTTAGCCTGGTGCAGAAGAGCTCAAAGAAAATGAGGTGTTCCGTGGTTGTTTCTGCCCACCTGAGAAAAGTGCAGTGATCCCCTAGCTCATAATTCCTTCAAATCTTAGGAACCCTGAACACAAAGAATCTCTTTGGTTTCAAAAATGAGATTCTTCGCATGAGTCAGGTAAGTGCCTATGTGAGAAGGAAAAATGGCCACAATATTTCCATTCAAATAAGATGTCTTCTTGGCAGTGCTCCTTGGGGTTTATCAGGGAGAAATGTTGAAAAAGCCAAGAGACCCAAAACACTACCAGGCAAATCCTTCCCTCTTCCGAGAACTTTGATATTCTTCCTTTGAAATGCCCACTAGAATAGAATTTTTCCTTTCCTATTAGTATCATAATAACTTAATATTTCCTAAAGTAGCCTACCCAAGTAAATAATAAGTGGTACTACCTTTGTTATTGTTCAAGTTATTAATTCCTATAAATCATTATAAATACTATCCTAAGCTATGCAAATAAAAATTAGGCACACCTCAAAGGCTGACAGGATGTATAATTAAGACATAATACATTTCAAATATGGAATTAAAAGATCTCCAGGGAATCAAAATGAATGCTGGAAGCTCTCTGGGAGGAACAGGGAGGGAACAGATAGTGTAGACTTTCTGGGAACAGCAGTATTATTATCTTGGTAGAAAGATGGCTCAAAGTTATACTCTGAGCTAATCTTCAGTGAGGACAGGCCCTTGGAGCACACTTCTCTCTTTCCTAATTTAGTATCTTTTTCCCAATGCTAAAACATCAGATGAGAGCCTACCTGACATTTTGGAGAATTTGCTGTGCTGGGATTGATATTCCGCATTGCCTAAGAGTGAAAAATAAGATGGATAAAAATTATTTTAAGCCACATGGTTTGGCTGTGTAGGCTGAATTACAAATTGTATCCAGACATATCACCATAGCACAGAATTCCCAAGCTAGCCCGAGAAGCAGACTGAGGAAGACAGGAGCCAGTGGGGTCCCCACTCCCCACATAACAAACTGAAACCTAGAAGTGCTGAACAGCATTAAGGATAGGACAGCAAGGCTTAAGGTGTCAGGACTCAAGCAAAATTTGGTATGGGTCGGGTACGTTCTTTGCTTCTGGGTAGTATATGAAGCAGGAAAGGTATAATTCAGTGTTTCGGTGATAAGAGGAACTGTCAACTGAAGAAGTTCACAGGAAGTCAAAAGACTTAAGGTATACTGAATTTATACTGACTGCTAAAAAACAAAAACAAGAAAATCCTAACAGTGTAAGAACAGAGCAGGTCTGTCATTTCAATATACGAAAAGATAACACAGTAGGTAGTAAAGAAGAAACAAAGACATTACCTTGGAAGGAAGTGAAGCTATTCTGTCCAGGACCCATCACCCATAGTAAGAGTGAGAGTGAGATTTAGAAAAATTTTCTGGAAGGAAGAGTTTTATAAGTAGCAGCATTTTGCCCACCAAAAAAAAAAAAAAAAAGAACACCACCAAAAACCAAAACCAAGAGCAAAACCAGGCCCATCTATGGCATACAACAAATGAAGAACAGCCCATTTCTAGACTTTAAAAATTATCTTAAAAAGAACAAGACTTTGACATTACCAATCAAGTAATTTTTCTTAATAAGATTTCTTGGTTTTGATAGTCTTTTAATTCATATGTGAAATTGAGTTTGTATTTACTTGGACAATTTGTACTCAGTAACAAGAAAATGGAAAGCAAGCAATGAAATCAGGCTGGGTAAAACATGCCCTTGAACTTTTAGAATTACAAGAAGCTATTTCTTCTAATAGCTATACGATTATATTCTTGATGGTGATACTTTGTTCTGATGATAGTTTTATATAAATGAAAAACATCTTTCCATTATAGTCAATTGTTAGAAAGTCAATTAAAGATACAGTAAATGGTAAGTATGCACCCTTTTCTCCACCTTCTTAATGACAAAGAGTCATTTCAAGACCAATTCCTGACATTATATGCTGGCACAAACTCTCTTACTCCTATCAGAGCCCAACCACACCAGAATTAGACTGACAGATTACTGACAGCACAGTTTAAAGGTGGGCCTGGGGTTCCATGGGAGTTTGATTCCTTGGGTACCAGTTTCTCAAACCCCAAATCCGAGTTTAATGATTGTATCAAGTTCATGTATTTCCATAAATACTGGTGACTCTTCTGAAATACAGCCCTCATTTAAAAAACGTACCTTGTTTAAACACCTCCATCCTGGCAACACAAATATACAGTATAGTCATTTTTTAATGTCTACCCTCAGTATGCTATGATTTAGCATGAAAATAGTACAGATACATGTATTTCATGTTTGTAAACAGACTCTCTGAAAAAAACAAATACAAGAAACTGTATACTTACATCTAGAGAAGAGAAACTAAGGAAATGGGCAAGATTGCATTTCATTGTACTTTCACCTTTTGTACACTTTCAAATAGCACCATGTTTTACTTAAAAAAAAAAAACGTTTAAACTAAAAAAAACTGCTTTGGTAAGACCATTTCCCCAATTGCTGAACTTAGACTTTACCACTCTGAAATAAGATACGAAGTAAAAACCAATTTTAAGAGGGATTACCTATTATTATGGAATGTAAGGGCTAAGAGTACTTCCCCAAACTAGACTGGTGGAACTTGTCATGAGGGTTTCAAGCTCTCTAATGTTAGGTCGTACCCTTTCCAACATGAAAAATCATCCACAAGCACGTAATTTTAAGGCACTTTGGGATCCTCTAACCTTGGGATAATTTGTACTGTGTTTTAAATAAGACATAATAGATTCAGCTATATGAAACATATTTTTTATTTGTGAAGTATCATATTATTGGTGTATCCCCCAAATAATTCATTTAAAGTAAAATGTTTTTCCCTAAGTGATGTCCCAGAGTTTTTCCCTTAGTAAAGTCCTCAGAAATATAGTAATCTCCAATTCCACACACATTTGAGGAAACACCTTGCTGCCTTCCATTTGTTTGACTGCAATGACACAGCCCATGTGATCAAAGGTCAGTCAACAAACTAAGAAAGGGCAGAGTTGGTTAAATGTTTGTATTATTTTAGTTCTAGAGAAAGTACGGTTCTCTGTAACTAATAAATGCTAAAATGAAATATACCCAATTTCATGTAGGAAAGCAAACCCCCAAAAGTGGAAGGCTGGTTTCTAACCTGGGGCCTCACCTGCCGAAGCAGTTCTTGCTGCTTCAGTCGCAGCCTCTCCTTCTCCATCTGCAGTTGCTGCAGCCGCATCTGTTGCTGCTGGTTGGAGCTGCCCCCACCCATGACTCCTCCCTGGGGGCTCTGGGGAGCCAGGGGTGGTGGCTGTTTCACTGGAGCACTTTGACTGATTCTCTGGTTCATAGCTGAAATGAAACATAAGATCTGTCCTAAAATACTGTCAAAGGAAAAGGATATTTAGTTATCCAAAAGCAACTGGGGATATTCAACATAGCCTTTTCTGTAGTAAGGCTGGAAATAACCTAAAAATTCCATCAACAGTTACATTACTTTATTATTATTGTCATCGTTTTTACTATACAAGATGCAAGGCAGCCATAGAGAGAAGAAACAAGAGGCAGTTCTAATACGCAATAGCATGGGATGGTCTGAGACACTGGCTTAAAGCAAAGTGCACAACACAAAGTGTAAAAAAAAAAAAAAAGGTGTGTGTGGGGTGGGAGGGATATATATTATATGCATATCCAAACAACTCAAACTGAAGGGCAGCAAGAAACGACTAACATCTGTTGGCTCTGGAGCTGGGAACATGAATGACTAAAGGACTAAGCTGGAGAGAGACATCTCTGCTACCTTTTGAGGTGGAATGATGTGATTTCTTATTACAAAACATAAATTTAATTAAAAAGACACTAAAGCAACTGAGACAAAGCATTCTGAGTGGTAAAGTCCATCAAAATGATCAATCCTTAATACATCCTAAGATACATGTATAGGTGTGTATATGCACATATACACCTCTAATAAAGCAGGTAGATTAAAATCATCTGACATATGCTTATAATAAAAGTCTACATCTGGATCACAGAGATTTGCCTCATTCAATATCATTGTACATTTGTCTTATTCAACACTCACACAGCCCAGTTACTCATTATTTTTATTTTTCTTAGTTGAACCTAGAATACACCATTTGGTAATTAGAAACAGACTGAATTCCCATACTAGTGAATTTCTGTCACTGATAGAACACTGATCAAACTGTGGGTTGTGGTAATCTCAGTGAACAGATGGAAGTTTTATTATGTGAAAATGTTAATAAGAATGATATATCACTTTCTCAGATACATAGTCAACTTTTTAAGATGAAACTTGCAGTTACTGTTCCACTAAGTGTGTTTAACAGACACACTGACCAAAGGAAACCTCAGGCCCAAATGACTTCACAAACATTTAAGCAAGAAATAGTACCAATCTTACACAACCTTTTCTAGAGAACAGCAAAGAAGGAATACTTCACAAAACTTTTATAAGGCCAGCATAACCCCAATGCAAAGATGTTAAAAGGCAAATTACAGACCAATCTGTTACAAACCTCACTACCAAAATCTGAAGTGACATACTGGTGACAGCCCTCATGACTCACTGGCTCCCAGCCACACGCGAACTCCCTGCGAGGACGTGTCATGTGTTCTCTGCTGTGCGAGGGAGGCCGCTTGGTGAATACCAACTCTCCTCAGAGATCACTTGAGTAAACCTCTCCAGCCTTTCCCAGTCTATCTGTACACTAAGATTTATCTTCTCTCAGGGCACTTCCCCTGGACTTTTCCATTTTGTCTACCGACTTTTCTCACCTGACTGTAATTTTTAATTTACAAATTTGCATCCTCTTTTAGACTTGAGCCCACAAGTAGGGCGAGTATCCTAACCATGCATATATTCTTAGTGCCTAACACAGTGTCTGACACAATCTGTGATGAAAAAAGTACGTTGAGTATTTACTCAGAAATTTAACTATTTATGACATAACAATATAGAAATCTTACCAGTTTCCATGAGAACAACTGGTTCTTCTATGAGGGCAACGTAACGATATAGAAAACATTAGAAGAAAATTACAGACCAACCTCTCACCTGAATCTAGCGAGCTACTTGTTAATCTAACAAGTTGTAACAGTATCAACTTCTTTCTATTCTTTTGTTCCTAATTTTTCCCTCCAATTATTCTATATTTCTTTTTCTAACTTCTTGAGTTGAACTTACTTAGTTTAAAGCTTTTCTTGGAGCATTAAAATCGATAAATTAATATTTTTAGTACTGCCTTTTCTGCATGTCATGCATTTTTAAACAGTATACGATTATTCTATTCCAAATATAAGTAATTTCTTGTGTGATTTCCATTTAACTCATTAGTTATTTAGGAGTACATTTTTATGCTACCAAACTTATTTCAGTATTGTTAAATAATTTCCCCATAGAGTAGAAAAAATGTAATTGTGAATCTTCATATACTCATCACACAGCTTCCCAGTGATCAATACATAGCCAATTTTGTTTTACCTCTATCCTCAATCATTTATTCAATTACTTTCAAACACTGTAACATTTCACCCATAATCACAATATGCATCATTCAGGGTTTTTACTTAGATTCTCTGATCATGTAGCTTTTTCTCTCTCATGCTGAAAAACTTGGTTCTAATAACATTAATATGTATTTCCGTACATATGCATACCATACACATATACAATTACATAAATGATATGATTATTAAAGTTATGACCAACATGATTCTTAAAGAAAAGTGTGTCATTTTTTTTGTCCTTAGATATTTCGTTAGATGTATGCAGTCAAATCACTGTGGTTGAAAGTCATCTGAAATAATTCCTTGTGAGATCCAGCCACCAATTCAATGTACTGGTTCACTTGTGACATTTTGCTTTAAAAATTTATAGATTTGCTTTACTTCCCACCCACCATCACTCCACCCCCAACATAAAAGGTTATTACCAGTTTTTTACATTGTTTTTAAAAATCTAAGCGTACACACATTATATATCTAAGTCTTCTTAACTAGATGGTAGCATACTATGAATACTCTCACTATACCTTTTTTCTACTTAACACATCTTTGAGATCACTCCAAAGCAGTACATAGAGATTTTCCTCCCATTTTCTTTTAAAAAAAGCTGATTAGTATTCCATTCAACCAATTTCCTATTTGGGTTTTCACAATCACTAAAGAGTACCATACAGGATAAGTCCATACATAATTTTTTATTTTTGCTACTGTATCTTTAGGGTAGAGTCCTCCTATGTGTGAGAGAGAGTGCTGAATTTAATGAGTAAAAACATGATTGTCGTGTCTCCCATCCTCCCCACACACATAGGGATTGTACTTTGTTGCATCCCTGTCAATAATGTAGGAGTTTTTTTTCCCCTCACAGCCTTGCCAAACTTGAGTTTTTGCCAGTATGAAAGATGAGAAATGGTTTTTCAGCATGATTTTATTTTGCTATGTCTTATTGTAAGAGTTTAATCAATTTCCATATTTTGAAGGGTATTTTGCTTTTTTTATGTGAATTGTGTTCATCTTTTCCTATAAGGTTATTGGTCTTTCTCCATTTTAGATATTCTTCATATACTAGGGATAGAAAACCTTCGTCACATGTACGTTACAAATAACTTCCCCCTGTTTATCATCTTTTTAGTTTGCTTATATTTCTCCATGTAAAAATTTATTTTGTAAGTGTAAAACTTCAACCTTTCTGGAAATTTGAGCTACGTTCTCTCCACTCACAGGTGACAGAGGAATTCATCAATTTTTAAAAAAATTCAAAACAATATGGTTCCGCTTTATGTATTTATTTGGCAATTCAATCCAATGCATTTGGAATTTATTCTGGAAATGGCATGAATGAATCTAATCTTATCTTTTGTCATGACTATCCATAGTCCCAACACCACTCATGGAAAGTGTGTCCTTCTCCCAATTATCTTTATCATAGACTAAATTTCCGTATTTTTTTTGTTTCTCGATTTTCTACCCTGTTCATTAATCTAACTACTCTTATAGTAGGTACCACAGTTCTAATTACAGCCTTTATGTTTTAATAGATGTTAGGGCAAGCTGTTATTTTTTGAAGCCAATTTTGAATTAATGGGATCCAATTTAATTCACTGTGATTAAAAGAATGTGCTGTGTATATTGATTTTTGAAATTGTGACTTGACATGTGGTCAGTGCTTGCTTTTGTAGTAGTTGACGGCCAGTCAGCTGTAGGCCTACCTTTTCCCATTGAGCCTGTTTCTGTACCTCCTTTTCTGTTAACACTCTTGAGCTCCTGGTATTCTTTGGAGCTGAACTGTCCCTAAACCTCACAGGCCCTAGCCCTGCTCTTGCTTACTGCTTTGTGTGGTTTTATTTTCTGACCTGCAGAGACTACTTTTAAAAGTTTATTACCCAAGTTACATCCTTTTGGTTACCTCTTTACTATTTTGTCTGGCAGGGCAGAGAAGGGATGTCAAAACATGACTCATTGTTCCGTATTGTTCAAAACCTTCTTAATCTCTTATATGGCTAAAAAGGAAAAAACTCATTATTTATAAAGTATCTTTACAAAGAATAAATGGCTAAAACTTTCATAATTATGGCTTATAGTTTGGTATTTTATAGGGGAATGGATACGGAAAACGTCAAAAAAATTTCAGAGCTGAGGTTTGTCAGGTACCATCAACAACCTCATTTAATACAATTACCTATTTAATGCATTAAATATTTAATTAAATCTATTTGGTATGTCCTATTTGTCACCAACATTATATGTACAACTGATAAGCATAGTATGATATAAAAACATGGCCTTTTGAGTCAAACCACAATCAGAGTTGGGCACACCAACTCAGTAATTCTTCTAATCCTGTTTCCTCAACTATACCTGGGGATATTAACATCTTTTTTTAATTGTGGGGATTTTATGTGTGTGTGTGTGTGTGTGTGTGTGTGTGTGTGTGTGTGTATGTGTATATATATATATATACATAATATATATATATTATACATACATATTTTTATACATATTTATACATATTTATACATATTTATATACATATATATAAATACATAATATAATATATATATAAAACATTATTATAGATGCAGTAGAAGCTCCATGTTAGTCTCCTCCCCTCTCCAGAATAGTTTCTTTCTAAACTTTAAGATTACCACTCCTACAGATAATCATCCTTGCTTGAATTTCCATTCCCTCTCCTCCCACTTTACTATGCCACTCATTGTTCCTAAGTATTATTATGATTCACAGAGATATGTGTATTTATCTTTCCTATAAGAGCTAAATAGAAAAAAGTGGGTGATGGAGACTGAGCTTAACCTTCCCGCAGGGAT